CCAGTTTCCCTTCATCTAAAAATTATTTCGGTTCCTGATAATCTGTTGCATTTCAACATGGCCCAGTTTCTCTTTGACCCTTGTCTTAGCTGAAGAGGTCACTCACCAACCTGTCCTCCAAATCAAACGTTGAATAATCAATGGTGAAATTTGGACCAAAGTCATCTGTGCAGGAGAAAAAGAATCGGTAATAACGAAGGAACCAGAAACGACAGAAGCTGCTTGGAATATCAGTTTGCTTAAGTTGCAAACTTTATTAACACAATTCAGTTCTAATGAACTTTAGGATTAAAAATATCTATGACCAAGCCAGGTATGGTAACCTAGTGGCTAAAGTCCTCACCTTGTGTGCACCAGGATCCCATCTGGGCGCCAGTTCTAATCCTGGCAGCCCAACTTCCCATCCAACTCCCTGTTTGTGGCCTGGGAAAACAGTCAAGGACGACCCAAAGCTTTGGGACCCTGCACCACGTGGGAGACCCAGGCAAAGCTCCTGGCTCTTGGCTTCGGATTAGCTCAGCTCTGGCTCTTGCGGTCACTTGGGAAGTGAACCATCAGACAGAAGATCTTCCTCTTTGTCTTTCCTCCTCTCTGTATATCTGAGTTTCCAAATACATCTTTTAAAAAAATATGTGACCATGAATGCTTTTTTTAGAGTTTCAATCTGGTATCTAAAGTAATTTACAAAGTTGAAAAAAAAAATTCAAGTTGTTTCAGCCATTTTTGGAGAATGAAAAGTACCAGCCTGAGACACAAGCTCGCAAGCCAGGCCAGCTTTTGTTCAGAGCCCAATCTGTCCTAGTCTGTTGTGAAGTGTGGGGCCAAGATGACATGAGGACTAAATATGCCTGAAGCTTCCCCTCACCCACCACACCGAGTCAGAGCTCTTCACATACTCACCGTAACTGGGGGTGATCGTATAATAATAGGCCACCTGATAATACTCCTCCTCCTCAAGTCCTTCCTCATCCTCATATTCTGGTTCCATCGGGACACGGACTACAGATCCAGCATCTGGGACACCTTCGCAACCAACGGACATCAGGAGTTAACACCTGGTCTACTGGATGGCTTTCTTTCTGCCTCCCCTCCCCTCTTCTGCACCCCTAACCCTTGTTGGTCTTTGCAGCTCTGGGTCTGTAATGAGGTCTGAGCAGAAAACAGATCTCTTCACATATCATAAACCCAAAGAAAAGAACAAGCCCAAGAATGTAGGAAGAGAGAAATCAGAAATGAAAAGCACCAAGCCTTCCATTGGGTGTGCTGCAGGCTTCGTTGGGTCTGTGACCGGCAATTGACTCATACACCCTCAGGCATTGAGATGGAGGTTTTACTGCTACTTTCCTGCTAACCAGCAGAATAGCTTTGAACTAGCCCTTGGACATCCGTTTTCTTAAAATGAATCAGCTGAATCAAATGACCTGTCTCCATGCGTTTTTCTTCCTTTCCAGAACTAAAAATATGTGGCTTGGAGGTGACTGAATCAAGAACTCCAGTCTCCTGCTAAAAACTGCCCTCGGCCTCCCTGTCTGCTTTCCCTCCAAACCCACGCTAATGACACAAGAGTCCAGAGGAAGAGGAAACGATGAGACACACCTGGTGCCCTAAGAAACAAAGGAGGGAAGGAGCCAAGCTACTCTGCGGGCTTCGTCCCAGAAGGCAGCTGGCTTTCCACTACCCTTCTAAAACCCAGCCCACGCCTGTGTCTCTGTCCTCGCTAACTCAACAGCGGCTTTCCACTACCTCAAAGGCCAGCCCAGGCCTGTGTCTGTCCTTACACTAAGGTTGCTCCCTAGTTCTCCGTCCAGGAGGTACCCTGGCTTCCCTCTCCATGGCCTCTCTCTGTCATTCCCATGCAATTTGTGTCTTGCTCAACTCTATGGTGATGGAGAAGTGGACTCAGTCCGGCTAGGCCCTTCGCTCCATCCTGCCTGAGCCTTTCCCTTCTGCTCTTTCCCTGGCTCTGCTTTCCAGCTCTTCACTCTGCTCCCGCCCACAGGACTCCAGCACAGACCCAAACGCAGGGCTGTTACCCCCTCTAGCAATGCACCTCTTGTCCTTTCCTCACTACTTTTTCTCCTCCCAACCCATTTATGGTAGAAGACCTGGCACAAAAGTTCTGGCAGAGGCATGTAGACTTACCCAGGCTAAGTGGCACAGCAAGCATGGCTACAAAGAGGACATCCATTCTGGATTCTGTACTATCGCTCGTGAAAGTTTAAAAAAAAAAAAAAAGGAAATTACAGCGTTTCCCACCAAACTCAGCCCGCCTCCCCCGCTCCTCAAGGCTGGGAGGGAGCGTTGACCACTCTTCTCCCAGGGGGCGGAATTCCACGCCCACTTGCTCAGCCTGCATCTTCAGTTACTACCGGTCCCTAGCTAGAGCAGAGCTGCTGAGACGGACAGGCAAATGGGATTTTAATGCAAACTCGTCCATGTCCATTCTGGACTCAAAAAAAAAAAAAAGTCTGCCAAGAAGCTTCCCCTCCTGTATCATTTCCATCTTGTTTCTCAGTCCTTAGCAAAGCCCAGGTTCCCTGTCACGTCCCTAACTGACCATTGTGACCTGTCCAGAGTCGTCCTTCTCTCGCAGTCACCATGCAGCCTCTTTCGCCACTGCTGTGGAAATGTTTTCAGGAAGGGTGAGTGCTCTTCTGAACTCAAAATAGCCCCTGTCCTTGGTCAGCCTCACTCATGGAGAATGGGAACAACATTTATCTATTGTTGCTTGAGTCTCAAAGCACCTGCCACACTGGCTCTGATAGGAATCTCTGACAGGAATCTCTGATGAGGCCAGTTATTTCCTCTTTGGTTAAGAGCTAACCCTACCTCACCTCGGAACTTCCTCCACAGAAGATGGAAGAAGGAAGAGAGTAGGCAAGTTCTTTCCCTCCACGGGTGCCTGGCCCCATCTCCCACTTTCAGTTGCTGCCTTCAAGCCCACAGGAGGAGCGTTTTTATGGTAATTAGTGGTTTATTTATTTATTAAAAAGATTATTTTATTTTTATTGGAAAGTCAGATTTACAGAGTGAAGGAAAGAAGCAGAGAAAGATCTTTCATTTGCTGGTTTGCTCCCCAAGAAGCTGCAACCGCCGGAGCTGAGCCTGTCTGAAGCCAGGAACCAGGAGCATCTTTCAGGTCTCCCATGTGGGTGCAGGGTTCCAAGGCTTTGAATCGTCTTCCACTGCTTTTCCAGTCCACAAATGAAGCTGGCTGGGAAGTGGAGCAGCCAGGATACAAACTGGTGCCCACTTGGGATCTCGGGTGTGCAAAGCAAGGACTTTTAGTCACTATGCTACCGCGCTGGGCCCATTTACTTATTTTCGAAAGGCAGAGAGACTGAGTTAGGGTTCCCATCTGCTATTTCACTGCCCAAATACCTGTGATGACCAGGGCTGTGCTGGTCAGAAGCTGAGTGTCTCTCACCTGGATGTGAGTAGAAATCAGCTACTTGAGCCATCATGGTGGTCTTCAAGGGTCTGCAGGGACTGAAAGCTAGAGTTGGGGGGGTGAGCGGTACAGGGCAGAAGCAGAGATCAGACTCACATCCTCTCTGGCTACTTCTTGGCTAATTGTTGGTTCCTCTCCTGCTTTTGAGTTTCTGCTTTTGTTCTCTATACAAACATTTACTTATCAGATGTGTTGGGCACATGATGCTACATCCATCTGGGTTTGACAGGTGATTGGGAACCCTTGGGCTGGGGAGGGAGAAGAGGGGATGCACCAGAGATGTGTGGGCTTTTTCAAGGGATGCAACACGGAAAGTGAGCCAGGCATGACACAAGTCTGTGAATCACCCATGAACAAGATGGCTTAGAGCCTCTTCGCAGAGTGAGAAGGTGCCAGGGGCCGGGCTCACTGCAGAGGCACCTACTTCCTATGTCTTCCCTGACCCAGCCAGTTGCACTAAGAACAGGATGCCTGCAAGCCATGAGCACTGGCCAGCAGGCTTGGCGACTTTCCATGTAAATCTATATGATTTATTCCTGAGCTCCTTTTCAGATTTTCCTGGGGGAAAATGTGAAACATTTACGTGGGTGTATGCTCATGCGTGAAATCCTAAATCCTTCCAGAATGGAAAGGAAGCCCGGTTCTTCTCCATGTGGTTTTTAACAGCACCATTTCTATAGGGGGGGTTTTTTGTTTTTGTTTTTGATACTTTTAACTCCACTTGCAAAAAACGACATTCCAGATTCTCTCACTTCCTACTCTAGGACTCTTTAACCTAAACAACTTCCCTCAGGGCTAACCCTGTCCTCTCCAATTGCATTTCTCTTCTTCTCCCTCCCCCCTCCTCTGTCTAAGGAGAAGACTCCTCCGAGGTTTATGTTCCGGGGGAAAAAATAAACAGAGGAAGTATGACATAAAAAAAACTGAATGATTTGGGGTGGGAGGGACTGTCACCTTCTTTCAACTCAAGCCCTTTTAACTTCTGAATTCCCTCTGGATTCCTTCCCCAGCCCTTTTGTCCCAGGCTCCTGTGGGCTTCTCTCCCGTTTTGTCCTTCCAGGTGGAGGTCTCCTTAGCAACCTCCAGGTTACGGGTTTTCCACGTTAGCTTTTCCAAAGGATTCCTACTTTAAGTCTAACCTTCATCCCTCCGGCAGCAACGCTAGCCCATTTCCTCTCATTCAAATAAGAACAATACCCGCCCCTATCTCCCTGCACCCTCTATCCTGTACTGTCTTTGTATTTGTCCCTTACATTCAAACAGGATCTTCCCCCTCCTGCAGCCCTGCACAAAGGCTTAGACTCGCTACCACCCTTCCCACAAAGCAAGCCTGTAGTCAGCCCAGCAACAGAACCCAAGCAACCGCGCCCGGGGTCTGGCCCAGCCTCTCCCGGGACCGGGTGCAGCGGACTACGAGAGCCGCGGGACTACAACTCCCAGCAGGCCTCGCAGCCCCGCCTCCTGCCCCGCTCAGCCCAGCCCACCCTGGGTCTCCATTGGCCTTCCGGGGGTGGGGATTAGATGGGAGGTGGCCATGGGGCTGCTGCCAGGCTTTGTCCCCTCCTCGGCTTCCGTAGAGGAAGTCGCGCGGATCTTCCTCTGGGGTGTCGGTGCCCCCCTCCCCTTCCCCGGGGTCCGGGGGTGACATTGCACCGCGCCCCTCGTGGGGTCGCGTCGCCACCCGACGCGGACTGCCCCAGCGGACGCGCTCCTCCCATTTGCCTCCCTGGGCCAAGCCTCCACCCCGCCCCCCAGCCCCAGCCATGGGGGCTGCGGTGTTTTTCGGATGCACTTTCGTCGCGTTCGGTCCAGCCTTCGCTCTCTTCTTGATCACTGTGGCAGGGGACCCTCTTCGCGTTATCATCCTGGTCGCGGGGTGAGTCATGGGATGGGGGAGACGTCAAAGAGAGGAGTGGGTTTGGAGGAGCTGGAGGCGAGCCCGGCAGCCTGGGGCTGGGGGAGATGAGTCAGAGGTGAAGGTTGCTCAGGGTCAGTTGGTGGACTTGAAGGGTTTGCCCTTTTTCCGGCCATTGATTTCCGCCTTCCAGGGATTGCAGATTCCTGCCACGACGTCAGAAGAGGCCCAAGGCCGAGGCTTGTGCGGGGGGCCGTGCTGACCTGGGTCGGCCCAGTCAGGTGCCCTATAGGGGAGGACCGACTGGGGCAGGGACACCTCCCCCTTCGGAGCCCACACAGGCTGCCTCTCCCCGCCCGAAGCCCCCCTAAATCCGAGTCTAAATCCAACAGATGAATGCTGTGCTGGAAACTGCTCAGTCCCCCGGCTCCCTGACCATCCGGAAGTCCAGCCTCCACTGTGTTGTGCCGCAGCTTGGCTGAGTCCATTCTTTGATTCCTCTGGCCGTCCCCACCCTGGCCTGCCTCTCACTGCCCTTGTCTCTTCTCAGGGCATTCTTCTGGCTGGTCTCCCTGCTCCTGGCCTCCGTGGTGTGGTTCGTGTTGGTCCATGTGACAGACCGGTCAGATGCCCAGCTCCAGTATGGCCTGCTGCTTTTGGGTGCTGCTGTGTCTGTTCTCCTCCAGGAGGTGTTCCGCTTTGCCTACTACAAACTGCTAAAGTAAGACGATGGGGTGGCCTGAGAGGGGAGCCCGCCTGGGAAGGGGCTGGCAGGCTGCTTTGGAAGAGGAGGTACCACAGGGAAAGGAGCAGCCCTGCCCTCCCTCATGTGTCCCCCACCCCACCCCACCCCAGGAAGGCAGATGAGGGCTTAGCATCGCTGAGTGAGGACGGAAGATCACCCATCTCCATCCGCCAGATGGCTTATGGTGAGCCAAGGGGGAGGGGCTGGCGGGAGGTGCTGGAGACCCCATCCTTGGGGAAGCCTCTAAGCTGCCACCTGTCCTCAATAGCTTCCTGCTTGCCTTCCTGCCTGACTGCTGAGCAGAGGTGGTGTGGAGGGAGAGTAGGTGTGGCAGCCCTGTGCCTGGGCGTGGGGAGGGCTCAGGTGGCCGGTGAAGCAGGTCCCCATCACTGCCGGCATTCATGAGCCCCTCCCTCCCCCCAGTTTCTGGTCTGTCCTTCGGTATCATCAGTGGTGTCTTCTCTGTTATCAATATTTTGGCTGATGCTCTGGGGCCAGGTGTGGTTGGGATCCATGGAGACTCACCCTATTACTTCCTGACCTCAGGTAAGGCCCACTTCCTGTTTTGCCTTCATTGCTTCCCCACCGCCCCAGCTCATCCCTGACCCTGATGGGACACATTGGCCTTCCCTGGGAGATGTCTTGGGCTCCGGATGGCAGGAAGCTGGGAGAGTACCAGGGTGTGTCTCATCGCCGCCTCCCTCCCTGCAGCCTTTCTGACAGCAGCCGTCATCCTGCTGCATACTTTCTGGGGAGTTGTGTTCTTTGATGCCTGTGAGAGGAGACGGTACTGGGCCCTGGTCCTGGTGGTTCTCAGTCACCTGCTGACCTCGGGACTGGTGAGTTGCAGACAAGGGCTTGAGAATAGGAGTGGGATCTAGGGGGTAGGGGGGTGTGGAGGCGCACCCTCAAGCCTTATCATTTCTGCCCTGGAAGAGGCAGAAAGGTGAGTCTGTGGATTCCGTCCCCTCGGCATCACTTGCAACAGCTGCTCTGCGAGAGAGGCTGCGGGTAGAGTCTGAATGGGTCAGTCAGACTAATTCAGAGGGCCTCGAGTGAGCAGGGGGGATAGAAACACTTGATGGTGCTCCACGTCAAAACTCCCTGGTAGTAGTGGGGGAGGGTGTGACTTTGAGTGACATTTGTGGGTGATGAGGTTGGGGAATACGCTCACCTCTTTTTCTCCCCACACCCTTATTCTCAGACATTCCTGAACCCCCAGTATGAGGCCAGCCTGCTGCCCATCTATGCAGTCACGGTATCCATGGGGCTCTGGGCCTTCATCACAGCCGGAGGCTCCCTCCGAAGCATCCAGCGCAGCCTCTCGTGTAAGGACTGACTACCTGGACCGATCGCCCGACAGATCCCACCTGCCTGTCCACTGCCCGTGACTGAGCCCAGCCCCAGCCCGGGTCCATTGCCCACACTCGGTCTCCTCGTTGGTCGCTCCCGCCACCACCAGGGCTTTGTGTTGTCCATCTGTGACCTTTAGTGTCTAAGCTTTGGCAGGAGCAGCCTGGGTTCAGCCAGTCAGGGACCGATGTGGGTTTGAGTCTGCACTTAGCCCTCCTCCCCCCTGCCCTTGTCCAGGACGCCCTATGTGTTAGTGCTCTGCTCTCACCCGCCCATGACTCACCCCGCTTCCCCTCTGCAGGCCGACGGCAGGAGGACAGTCGGGTGATGGTGTATTCTGCCCTGCGCATCCCACCCGAGGACTGAGGGAACATGGGGGGGACCCCTGGGCCTGGGGTGCCCTCCTGATCTCCTCGCCCTGTATTTCTCCATCTCCAGTTCTGGACAGTGCAGGTTGCCCAGCAAAGGGACTTAGCTTAGCTATTGCCCTGGAGAGGAGAGTAATGGAGGCTCAAGGGTAGACCAGCTGCCCCCTCCCCAGACTGACGTCTTAGTCTTTTCTCTCAGGTCTCAGAGGGGAACCCATATTTGGTGTGATAACCATCCCAACTGCCTTTTTTTTTTTTCCTTCTGAAATTGGGGAAGGGAGGAGGAATGTTGGAACAACTGTCACTTCCTTGGGCTACTTTTCCTCCCCCAACTCAAATTGCTCCTGATAGCTGGGCTCATTTCTGTCCCCTTCCCCTTAGGTCCCAGGCCCTGGGGAAAAGGAAGGACGTGCATGTTTGGGAACTGGTATTACTGGAACTAATGGTTTTAACCTCCTTGGCCACCAGCATCCCTTCTCTCCCCAAGGTGAAGCGGAGGGTGCTGGGGTGAGCCTGCCTGCTCTGGAGCCACAGTGCCCCTGGACAGGTCAGGCCACCATGATATCGCAGGGAAGGAGGGCAGATTTTTTCTAGTTTTTAATTGGGGTGTGGGGTGGGGAGGGAGGTTTTCTATAAACTGTATCATTTTCTGCTGAGGATGGGGTGTCCTGTCCTTTTAATCAAGGTGACTGTGATTTTGACTAATAAAAAGGACTTTATAATTGCGGGGGGAACTTGACTCTCAAGGGTGGGGACAACGTGTTCCTTCAGATTTCTGCCCTCTCGTGTCTCTTTGTCCAGTCCTTAATTTCACCTCATGGTTTGCGGGGCAAAGCAGAAACCTGGGTTGGTGGCTTCATGCTGGAAACTTTGGGTTAAGTATTTTCCCACAAGTAGGGGTACCTGCCGCTTCCACTACCACCCCCAGTCACCACTCACACCCATCCCAGGGATGGAATAACAGGAGTTCATTGCCCATGTTTGCTTTTCCCTATCCTTTGCTCATTTCCAACACTCTCCTACCCTCAAGAGCCCCAAAGAATAGGCCAGAACAAAGGTCAAAAACTTTAATTTCTAAATAAATTGAACAAAAAACTCAAAACAACGACAAACACCCAACATCAACCCTTTTTCCTAAAGGAATATCCTGCAACATATCTAAGAAAAGGGACATAAAAGTGTGGGAGTGGGCATTTGGGGACACGTCCCCAACTCTCCCTACAACTAACCAGTCTCATTAGCACCGTGAGAACCTCTTGGGCTCCTCCTTGCTGTGAGAGACCTAAGGCTCCCCTGTCTTGGGGAGAGCCTGGGTTCACCCCAGTCTGTCAGGCAGTGTCTGGAAGAAGGAGGGGGTCTACCTACTACTTTACAGCCTTTTCTGGCCCGTCCCTACAGCCCCACTTTTGAGGCTCCCTGATTGGCGAGAGTGGCAGGTGCCCATGGGTTTATGCCTCAGCAGTGGTTCGTGCCGAGGTGAAGACCACACTTTTCCTGTTTCCCAGCCTCTTCTTCCTGCAGGGAGGAGGAGAATCCCACGTGAAGCCAGCAGGAGGTTGGGGAGAAAAGGGCTGAAGTCCTGCAGAGGAGGGTCTCACCTGATTTTTCTAGCAATGAAATAAAGAGCCAGCAGAAGGCAGAGGCAGCCGACTAGGATTCCCACTGCTATACTCAGCATTTCTCCTGTGGAACAGCAGTGCCAGGTGACAGCCTAGGGCTGGGAGATGTGGAGCCCTTCCCCTTGCAGTGCCCTGATAGGCACGGCTGTCTTACCTGTGCTGTACAGGGATCCGGCTGGAAAGGAAGAAGAGCTGGGTCAGTGGCACATCAGACTGCCAGCCTGGCTGAGAGCAGCACACTCTTATGCCTGGGAGAAACCGCTGGGCGCTCGGGCGTCTGAGCAAGTCCTGGAAGCCCCCACCCCTCTCAGCCTTAGGCTCCCTACTTCCTGCCATTGAGGCCTTCTGTGTCCCATGTCCTTCAGCCCTAGAACAGTCACCTGGGTTAAAAGATGCCAAGACCCCTCGCTGATGGAGGGGTTGGGGGATGCGGAAGTTCTCAACCAGGAGCTCCGAGGGCTCCTCCTGCTCTGTAGAGAACAGTGTTGTCTGCAGCCTCTCCAGCTACGGAGCACAAGAGTGCAAGTGAGGGAAGGGTCACTTGGAGAGAGTGGGGTCTCCTGCCACCAGCCTGTCCCACCACTCACCTGCTCCACTGAGATCTGTACCCTGCTGCTGAAGACTGTCCAGAGCACACTCTGGTAGCAAGGGGGCGTTGTGAGTGAGCCATTGTACCGGAAGAAGTGCTCCAGCTGCGCCGGGAGCAGCCCTCCCACATTGAAGGGGGGCACTGAGGTCTTCTCATCTAGGGAGAAGGAGGCTTGGTTTCCTCACTGTGCCCTGGGCTCCCCCAGGCGGGGATTGTTTAGCACACGGCCTCCTCCTAAAGGCTCATCCGCAGGTCAGCTTTTAAAAGTGTCCATGAAGAGCTCACCTTTATGTCTTATTTCATGCAAATGCTGCAGAATGTGCTCATAGGCGGGGTTCTCTGCATCACCTGCCTGGAGGGGGAGAGCATGGAATAGGTACGTTTGGAGTAAGACACTGGTGTGCAGAATCAACGGTCAGAGTGTCTGCCTGCTTGGGGAGGGAGGCCAGCAGCCGTGAATCTGAGGGATAACCTGGGAGAGGATGAGACCACTGACCTCAATCAGGATGCCCAGCACAGCCAGGCCCTGAGGCCTCTGAGCTGCTTCACTCAAGCTCTCGTAGGAATCTGCATCATAGTGCACGACGTGCAGCTGAAGGAAGGGAGAGGGGGTGGAGTCAGTAACCACTTCTCTACCTGCCTCTGGGGCCTTGGCTCTGACTGCACCCCACACCCCCAGGACAACTTTGCTATGTGTCCGAATCCTTTTCCCAGTGACCGGCCATCCCTGTCTCACTGTGGGCTTCTTGTTGTCTGGTACCTCGGCAGCGGCAGCCTCGCTGTTGATCTGGTGCTCTGAGCCTCCAGGTGACCCTTGGCGACCCCAGTGCAGGTGGAGCTGGGCAGCCACGTATTTCTGAGGGAGTCCACTCAGATACAGGGTCGGGGGCAGAGAGAGTTGCACTGAGCAGGAGAGGGCAAGCCAGGCTTGTTGGGGGAGTGTGCCATAGTTCCCACAACCCCCCCCCCCCAACCTAGTCTGTCACCACTTCTTGGGAGATTTGGTCTCCTGTTTAACCTTCTTCCCCACAAAGCACTCTGCCCCCTAGGCCAATGCTTTGCTAGCCTGGCTCCCCCTTTCTCACTGAAGATCAAGTTCTAACTTGGGCAAACTTAGCCATAGACAGGCAGGTTCCACCTGGCCTACAAGAGCCTGATCCCAGGCTCACATCTCCCCGATTGTGAAAGAAGCTTTCAGATGCTCCAGTCTCTCTCCCCGGACTCTGGAGGTTTGAAGCAGCGCCCGCAAGTCCCTGCAGCCTGGGTCTTACCTGTGTGACCATTATTGCGCAGGTCCAAAGGCTCAGTGCCAGGCTGTTCATAGCCATGGGGCTGCGGAATGGGCAACTCGGGGGCAACCGTCACACTGTCTGTCTGGATGTCGATGGGCGACTGGGCATCGCTCCCGCACTCAGGGTAAGAGGCTGCCCAGTGTTCCTGACCGTGTGGGCCTGGTGGAAGTTGCCAGACATTTGTCCTGTCCTCTGGCCCCAGCCACCCGTTCATGCTGCCTCACCAAGTTACAGATCTGTGTGGAGGTAGAAATGTGCCCCCTTCCACGCAGGCCCAGACCCCAGTTAGGCTAGGCTAGGTGAGGTAGGAGTTCCTATTGGGCTTTATGCTCCAGGTGCTGAGGGTACTTCCCCAACCCTCATGATGAGTGAGAGCACCAGCACCTTTACTCACCTGCAGTTTGAGGACAAGGAAGCGGAGTGAGGGGAAGAGGGCATAAACAGAAAGCCTGACTTCACAGAGGTGGGATTAGAGAGCAGAGGGAAGGCAATGGGGGTGGATGACGTGGTCCTAGAAAGGGAGGGTCTCCTTGGGCCGCCTGTGCAGGCAGCCTGGCATGCAGACATCGTGCCTCTCCGACATTCACGCTGGCTCTCCCACTGGACCTTGCACCAAATGTGCAACCCCACTCAAGTCATTCATCAGAAGTTCAGAGAGAATGAATTCCACCTCCCCTGGGGGCATAGACTCTCTCACCAGCCTCTTCCTCACCCCTGCCTCAGGCTCTGTGTAGTTTCAGGTGCAAATTGGGGGTAGACTGCACTAGCACAGAAAGAGCTCAGAGAACTGGTGGCTATGCTAGGGGCTTCTCTCTCTCTTTCCCTTCCACTGCGCTCCCTCCCTCCCATGTGGGTTTACCCAGGCCCTAACCAGCTTTCCTGCTGAATCAGACGGGGTGGGATTTGATGATTACAACAGGGTCTAGGAGACACAGACATACAACTCAGGAGGGGAGGGGAGGAGCTGGGTTGAGGAGCTAAGGGAAAATTCCTCCCCAACCTCACAGCAGGTCTTCCTGTCCCCCACACCCTGCAGGAAGTGGTCCCAGTGGAGAGAGGTGTCTGTAGGCCCACGGTACTGGGTACTGCGCTCACCCTCATAGGTCCAGTGTTGACCTGAAAGGCAGAGTGATAGGGATTAGAGCAGCCTGGGGCAGAGCCCTGTCCTCCACGCTCCTCTCCCTGCGGCGCTGGGCTGGGCTCCACCTCCCTCTCCCTCTTGGCCCACTCTCCTTCCTCCACTCCTGTGCTTCCCAAAGGAAGCTCTGAAACTGGACACCTCGGCAGTGGACAGAAAGGTCGGGGGGGGCCTATTTAAAAATCACCAGCCGGGGCTGCGCTTATGCTTGCTGAGTTCAGGGGGAGGAGGAATGCAAAGAAATCGAGCTCAGAGACTAAAATTAACTTGGATCCCAATGTGCAGGCAGCCCAGCCCTTAACGTTTCTCCAGCATGTGCCAAGTCAATCTAACCCTTGGAAGATTAGGGTGGGGTGGGATGGGGTGAGGTAAGGGTACTAGGGAGGCTTTACAGAGAAGGAACCAGAAAGAAGGGAGAGAAGGATGGGTTTTTGCCGAGACCAGAATATTGCTTGGCCTTGAAGTATTGCATGAATGAAGGCACTGAACTGTAAATTAATATTTAAATTCTTCCTTTCTGACTTGGCCCAGCTAACCCTGCCTCAGCAGCAGCCATCCAGTCAGGGGAGGGCGGTGGCAAGGAGGAGCAGGCAGGGCAGGGTCTATCCCTAGGTTGAGGGTGGTGGGTGGGCACGCACGGCCAGGCTGGCAGGACAGGATGAAAGTGGAGCATTGTGTGTGGAGAGGAGAGCTGCCAGCTGGGTCACATGCCAGGCTCTCATGCAGTCCTGTCACCCGGCTCAGAGGCCCGGGGGGTCTGCTGGCCCTGGGCCCTTCCAGGACTAAACTGTTTCCAGGAGAAAAGGCAAGCTGTCTTGGAGAAATTTGAGCTGCAATATTTAAACTGCCAGAAACCCTGAAGAAAGACGGTACATGCTTTTTCCCCTGGAGCCCTCCACACCTCCCGCCTACAATGCCTTACAATTCTGACACTTGTGGGATGCTTTCGATGGCATCCTTGGTCTGACCAGCCCATTCCTTGGTTCATATGGCCTTCTATTACTGGCTCTAGGGAACACTCGAACAACTGGAATTCTTCCCCACCAAATCTCCAATGCACCAGTTCTCAGCTTGGCCATCTTTCCTATTTCCCCCTTTTCCTTCAGATGAGATTTACAGCTCTCCATGAAACTATCCCCCCCCCCCCCGTCATCCTCCGCCTTCCCCTTCCACACTGTGGACACCCCTGTCACCCTGTTTTCCCCACCAACCTTAATTGTATGGCTACTCTGTGCTGGCTACTTCACTAAGCAGGAGCTAGGGTGCTCCCAGGTCCCACTCCTGGGGCACACCTGGGCCTGTGCTCCCAAGAGTCCTTGCTCATCTCTTGGGTTCCCCTCAAAGTCCTTTGTCAAACAAATGCTGACTGTGATCGCTGCTGTATTTGGGGAAGAGCTTGGACAGGAGTTGCTCTGCTCTGCATGCCGAAGGGGGCACTGGGGTCAGGTCTGGTTGGGATTGGGCAGCAGGTGGCTCCCTGCCTCCCTCCATGTTCCTCTTGTTCTTCCCTCTATTTCTTTAGGATTCCCTGGCTGAAGAAGCTCACAAATAAGGGAAGGCCAGGAGGGCTGCCGGCACGCCCGGCAGTGGGGACAGGCTCTGGAGAGCAGCTGCAGTCTATGATCCCCCTCCAATCCTGTGCTTGGGGGTGCACACACCCTGCCCCCTACTAGTGCTGCCTTACCCCTAATACCTGCAGAGCAGGGAGGGCAAAGGCAAAGGGAAGGAAAGGGCCTCCTTTATATTCTTTCCCAGTCCTAAAGTCTCTGTGCAGTCCCAGGTGTCTGCTTACACTTCACCTCCCCCATTACGCACACACAGTAGCACGTGGACCTCAGCACAGACACCCCCACCCCCACACACATCCACCCGTACCTACCCCCGTCTGCAGCCAGGATCCAAATCACCTCTAAAAGGAGGGCGAAGAGCATGGTATCCCGGGAAGGGCTCAGGGTGGCGGAGTTGGGGAGTAGAGGGCTGGGACAGGCAGGGGGTGGGAGAGGAAAACAAAAAGGTGGGAGAGCGAGAGAGCGAGCGAGCGAGCGAGTGAGTGTGCGGGCAAGTTCCTGGAGTTGAGTCTATTGATCTGTTTTCAGCTTGCTGTCCCCGTGCGCTTCCAGGGAATTTGGTTTTTAGTAGGGTCCCATGAGTTTCTGAGTTCCAGGACAAATCTCTGGCTGCCTCGCTGCCCTCTTAATCTTCCTCTGCAGCCTCCACTCCACTTGCTGGCCAGCAACTTCACAATTGCCTCCGCTTTTAAGGTGGCTCTGGACGGGTGTATGTGGGGAGGGGGGGGTGACCGGGCTGCTGGGGAACAGCTCCTTAAATAGCCGATTAGGCATGCACGATGGCCCCGCTCACTCCTGCTCCCTCCTCACTAGGAGTACTGGAGCCCTAGGTCAGGAGCCCAGCTGGGGTGAGCTCTTCCTTCCTCTGCTATTCACGTGGAGGCTGCTCAGTCAGGGGTCCCCAGGAGCGAGCGGGGAGCCAAGGAGGGGCCCAATCCAGCCCCCTCCAAAGGACACTGTGTCCTCATTTCCCCTGCCCTGGGAGGTAAGGCACAGAGGGTAGGGGGAAGCTGGGTCCAAGCGTTGCTAAACCTGAGCTGCCCAGGAGTAGGAAGGGAATGCAGGCTGGAGAGCCAGAAGGTGGGGACTCAGGGTGCAGGTGAGGGCAGGAAGTCAAGCACTAAACCCCAGCCCGTGGAAGAAGTGAGGTGGAGAGGCTTGTGATGTCCTTCTCTGCGCCTGTCACCACCCCCTTCCCACGGTGAGGCCTGGGTCCACGTGCCTGTGTGGCTGGGGGGGGGCCCGGGTTTGTTTGCTGTATAAAGCCCATTTGTGTGCCCAGCGGGGGAGGGGCTCCAGCAGCACCATGAAGAGACAGCGGCTCTAACTGCAGGACCCAGCCACCTCCCTCCCCAGGGAGCGCAGATCTAGGGCGGCTTTTGTCACTGAAGAGGACACTGAACCCTTGGCCAAGACACAGAGGCGCAGGACAGGAGGAGAGACAGAAGGCTGTGGAAACCATCATGTCCGCCCTCAGGAAAAAGGCGGGCTGCAGAGAAAAAGAGGGGAGGGGTGGAGAGAGTAAGAGACCTTGTGATCCAAACGCCAGAGGGGCCCAGGGGCTTCGTCCTGACAAAGGGGTCCGGGCACGCCCTACAGGGGCCGTGGGGTGGGGCTGGGTGGGTTCGAGAGGAGCCTGCCACCTCACCGGGGAGCTGGGCCCGTGGAGTATGCGCGTGTCAGGAATGTGGGCTGTGTGTGTGTGTTCCCCCACGGGACTGGAAATCCCGATCGGAATGTACACCCTAAATCCCTCTTTAGTGAATGCGAAACTCACAGATCATTTCCAGCCACACATCGGAGCCTTTCTGCTCTCTACCCTTCTCCAGGGTCACCAGCTGGGGGCTGGGGAGAGTGCGCGGATGCATCCACTTGAGCTCCCTCCGCCCCTGCCCCTGCCCCTTGCTCCTGCTGAGTGGCAGTAAATAGCTCAAAGGAGGGAGCAGAAGCTAAACAGGGAGCCGGAGAAGAGCCAAATGAGCAGAATAATACATGTGCTAGATCATCAACTCCTGCTGAGACAGGCCGTGCCTTTCTGTCTCCTGTGATTGATCTGCCACAGCAAGGACATGGGCAGATGCCACTGCTTCTTAAAAATTCTCTCATTGTCCGTCCTCTGAATTAATTTTCTCCTAGGGGGGAGTTGTAAGTTTGAAGGTCCCCCCAACCAAGGCCCATCCATCCCATCTGGGAAGAATAAAGGGTTGTAAAATGCAAACTGGACTTCCTGGGATTCGGGGTGCTTAGGAGAGAGGAACGGAAGGCGAGAGAAAGCAGAGTCATCTTGCACAGGGTGGCTGTGCAACGCCCTGGCGGGAGTGACCTCTGCGGGGACAGAGGTCCTCGCGCCAGCGCTTCCCCCAGCAGGTAGCTGTCTTGCCTGGCGCCACCTCTTGGTGGCTCGCCGGTGATTTTGAAAATGTTCCTGGAAACTGATTTCTCCTGGCCGGTAACCCAAGGCTGGTGGGCTCTGCGACTTTGCTCACTCAGTCCTCAAAGGAACACGGCCTGGCGCTGTTCGCGGCTGGGCAGGCTCTTGCAAATGGACCAAAGCGCTGGTTTCCAGGAGCTGGGGAGAGCGCAGGCACGCTCTGCGGGGACTTGGCTGTTTGACCGTTGGCTTTTGTGAGGACGTTCTTTTGCCCCTTTCTGCTGTACTGATTTGTAGTAGGAGCCAAGGGACCCTTGTGTGTTCACAAAAGAAAAAAAGTGACTCTGTCCCCCCTCCCCCTCCCCCCGCCCCAGCTCCTTTTTAAGTCTCTATTCAAACTCCGGCACCTTTGTTCAGTTCTGACTTCTCCCTCGCCAATACTTTCCTGAGTTGGCTGCAAGCCCAACAAAGCCCAGGCATCCCACTGCCATCTGGCGCCATCTCCTGTCCATGCAAAAGCAGTGAAAGGTGAAGTGGTAGAAAACCCAGTACGATGCCATTTTGGCCTTACAGGGTCCTAACCTAGGCATTTAAACTTCTTAGTTTAAAACACATTCCAGGACCTGTCACAGTGACTTGATGTCTAAATGTTCACCTTGCATACACCAAGATCCCATACGGGTGCCGTTTGGTGTTTTGGCTGTCCTCTTCCCACTCAGCTCCCTGCTTGTGGGCTAGAAAAGCAGCACAGGATGACCCAAAGCCTTGGACCCTGCGCCCGTGTGAAAGACCTGGAAGAAGCTCCTGGCTTCTGGCTTTGGATCGGCTCAGCTGTGGCTGTTATGACCATTGGGGGGGTGTACCGTAGGATGGAAGATCTTTCTCTGTGTCTCCCCCTTCTCTCTGTGAATCTGCCTTTCCAATAAAAATAAAGAAATCTTGTTTAAAATTTTTAAAGAAAACCTCTCATTCTGGGTGGGCTGGGAGTTTGTGTGGTAGGGCATAGGAGCCAGGTAGGGTGTGGAGACGGAGAACAAGAAGGGTCGCACAGGAACTTGTTTAGTCTATCTTGTGGTCATGAATTGCTGAGAAGAGGGCATTCGTGAGGAGACAGAATCAGATGGCACTGGATTCCTAGAGGAGCAAGCAAACCTGGGCTGAGAAGTGATGGAGACTCGGAGAAAGGATGCGATGGGTAATCCCAGCACTGCATGCTTGCCTCCTGTGTTTGGAGGGGGAGGATTAGCCCTACACCCACGCCCCATCATCTCAGAGTGACACCGAAGGACAGGTCCTCCTCTGTGAAGCAGGGAGGGAACAGGCTGTCAGCCTGTCATTGTCATCCACTTGGGTGGCCGCCCTCTTCGGCCTGTCTTTCCCCTTCCTCCCTCTTTTCTGCCCTTCATCCAAGAACCCAGCAAGAGACGGGGACATTTCCACTTCTCTCCTTTATAGGTGAGAAACTTTCATTAATGACAATTCTGTCTGTGATTCTGAAGGAATAACTGTGTCATATCCTTCTGGAATAGGAATCAAAGTGTAGCCTAGGATAACCTTGTGGGGACTGGTAGCTTATTGCTGGTGTCAATCACCCCTCCAGTCAGGATCTGTTCTCAGACAAGATTGTGATGTGACAAATGATTGAGATGTCTTTAAAAATGTACCATCTGTTATCATCGGGGCTGCTGCTGTAGTGTAGCTTATTAAGCTGTTCCCTGCAGTGCCGGCATCCCGTTTGAACCCTGACTGCTCCACTTCCCTTCCAGCTCCCTGCTTGTGACCTGGGAAAGCAAGGGATGGCTAAAGTCCTTGGGACCCTGCTCCCATGTAGGAGACCCGGAAGAGGCTCTTGGCTCCTGCCTCTCATGTGGCCCAGCCGTGGCTGTTGTGCCCATATGGGGAGTGAACCAGGAGATGGAAGATCTCTTTCTTTCTCTGCCTCTCTTTTTCTCCCTGTGTAACTCTGCCTTTTAAATAAACAAAAAGAAATATGGTCAAAGAACTTGCTGTAGTTTCACTTGTAACTTAGTTGTTTTCAGCATGTTGTTTAGAAGGACACGAATCTTAAAAGATACATTGACTTGATACAGAGATAGAGAAAGAATGACTCTCTCCCAGGACATTGGAACACTTTAAAAAGCAAAACCAAAAACTTTTCTGGTCCATAAAGGGTAGTTTTGGTCCTGGCTGCTACCACTTTAGTTAACTTGCTGTAATGACTTGAGTGACATTGCTCTAAGGAGAAAATGCCAAAAATTAGCAACATTTATAAATCTGAAGTTATTTGTAAGGTGACAACTGAATTTTTATTTATTTTAACTTTTCTAAAAGTAGAGACACAGTGAGACCAAAAAACCAAACCAAACCAAAACAAAACAAAACAAAACCAAACCCCAGAAATTGATCTCCGGGCTTGGCGGCGTGGCCTAGCAGCCAAAATCCTCTCCTTGAATGCATTGGGATCCCATAAGGGCGCCGGTTCTAATCCCTACAGCTCCACTTCCCATCCAGCTCCCTGCTTGTGGCCTGGGAAAGCAGTTGAGGATGGCCCAAGGCTTTGGGACCCTGCACCCGTGTGGGAGACCTGGAAGAAGTTCCTGGCTCCTGGCTTTGGATCGGCGCAGCACCGGCCGTTGCGGTTACTTGGGGAGTGAATCATCGGACAGAAGATCTTTCTCTCTGTCTCTCCTCTTCTCTCTGTATATCTGACTTCATAATAAATATATATATATATATATACTTAAAAAAAAAAGAAATTGATCTCCATCCCCTGGCTCTCTGGCACACGGCTGCAGCAGCCAGAGCTGGGCCAGATCAAAGGTGAGGATCCTGGTCTCATCTCAGCAGAGACCCCATACTTGAACCTCTGAGGGGGTGCCTATGTGAAAACTGGAACTGAAGGGGGAACTGGCACAGAATCCCGGGGACTTCAGTTAAGCACATCATCTCAACTGCTGCACCTGGGAAGGTAAAATGCAGTTATGACTTTTCA